AGACAGTGTTGAAGGCTTTCCTAAAGTCCAGAAAGACTACGTCCACTGCTACCCCTGTGTCTAAGGATTTTGTGACCTGGTTGTCTGTGAAGGGAAGTTCATTACAATTCAGGTCAATTTTGATACCCTTATGTTCCATAGCATTACAGAGGTGGAACAGTGATACAGTAGTTTTTGTTTGACTGAGACTGAGTCTCCGTTGGGCAGGTAAGAGGCTACTGTTTCATATCCCGAGACAAGGTAGTTTCTGTTTTTGGGATGGACTTGTTGAAGATGGACAGGGCCAAGTCATCTGCGTAGATATACATTTTAGCTGTGGTGGGTGCAATGTCAGATATATAGATGTTAAAAAAGGTTGGTGCAAGCACTGATCCTTGTGGCTCACTGTTACACATACGCTTGTATTTGCTTCTATCTCCTCCACTGGTGGAGAGGATGAAGGATCTGTTTGATAGTACATCCACCATTCCCCTATCTGGGATCAACTTGAATAGTTTGTACTCTAGTCTTTTCATCCAGATATCATCATGTGCAGCTGTTAAATCCACCAGCACAGTGCCTGCTTTTTCTGTCCTTTAGAAAAGCATCTTCAATGTTTTGAATAAGCCTTACTACCTGGTCAGTGGTGCATCTATTTTTGTGGAACCGTGCCTGCTGTGGTGGTCATTGTGGATAAGTGATGTCAGTTATCCTATTTAGGATCTGTTCAGAGCTGTCACCATCTTGTCTGGACTGAGTAGTTCAGTGCCTGTGCCACACCTATGCTTGATCAGAATCCACCAACTAGGTGTTTCTATGCTAAGTCCCCTCAATTTGGTAGATGTGCTTTGTACATAACTAACATACAGAATTAAGCTTCATATGCAATACACTGGTGGTCACAGCCATCATTAAAAGCTGTAGATACTGGAGGGAGGAAATGCTCCCCTTTTATGTAGTTGCCCTGTGGTCAGAGCAGTTGCATAAGATATGGGAGACCGGAGCTCAAGCTCCTCCCTGGGTGGGCAGGGACGGAGCACCGCCAC